ATATATATACAAGAACAATACAAGTACTCTAGTACTCTAGTACAAGAATTGCTCGTTTAAAGATATAAGATAAGATAGGAGCAGCTAATGGTATAGACCCTCGAGATTTTAACTTTGTACCTGAAGATGGGTGGTGGGATGAAATGGGTAGATGGAGTGGAACCAGGCATTCATCCTGAAATGTCCTTGGGTAGCAGTAACCATTTTCTAATGCTATGACAAATTAGAAGGATTACAATTAGCAAGGCTAGCCCGGTGACGCTGATGTGGTCTCTCTAGACCATCAGCTTAAGAATAAATAAATAAAAAGGAATTACAAAGTGGAATAAAAATATTAGAGCTCTTACACAGTGGAGGTCGATATATTATGTATGTTAGGAGTACAAATTAGTTACCGCCGCACTTTAAAAAAATGTTTATTATATTAACATTAATTTAATTTTTTAGAGATATTATGATGTCTTCTATTTTCGAAATTAGTTGCTCGTTTGTTTTTTCGTTGTACGAATTTACTTTAATAATCTCTGTCAGTTCCTGTTAGTAGAAAATCGTAACAAGGTGCGAGTGTTGGAGTGGTGGCCCGGTGTCGGCATTGTTCATTACGGTACGGTTTGGAACCTCTGGGTCTGCGGAGGGACTTTGGTTCTCTCTGTATTTTTTACCGTATTACTATGTTCCATGGGGAGTGCTCTGAGGAATTGTTTGAGATGATACCATCGTCTCGTTTTTACCATCGCACCGCCCGCCACCGGAGTAGAGTTTATCCATACTAACTGGAGCCGCTGCGTTCATCGACAGTGCGTTTCCAGAGGCCTTTTTTGCCACGTACCATCCGGCTATGGAATGAGCTCCCCTCCACGGTGTTTCCCGAGCGCTATGACATGTCCTTGTTCAAACGAGGCTTGTGGAGAGTATTAAGCGGTAGGCAGCGGCTTGGCTATGCCCCTGGCATTGCTGAAGTCCATGGGCGACGGTAATCACTCACCATCAGGTGGGCCGTATGCTCGTCTGCCTACAAGGGCAACAAAAAAAAAACGGTTTCTTAACGGACCTGGCACAGCACTTACTGCTCCCGACCATACTAACCAGACCGTACTCCGGCTGATTTCTGTTTCTTTATTTTGGATAATTTTTTACAGGGAAATGTTTACACTTTTTTGTCTTTGTAGCTGATATTTGAGAGCCCCGGCTAAAAGGTGGGAGCAATCCTCCACGCAAGGCTGAACTTCAGCTTTATATGGGCGTGAAATACCGTTTGGCTCTGTTGTAAATTCCCATCATTATTGACGCCACTTTGCTTTGCCCTTCAAATTTCTGCGATATTGGACATATCTCAGAATGCCGACCCCAAGTATCCCAATACTCGTAAAAGGTTGCCAGGATACTCAGACGTCAGACGTAGAGGAAAAGTTTCGAAACAATGAAATTGCAGTGAGCCCATGAAAATGGCCTTTAAAGAGTTTATGGAGTCCAGTCTCCAAGATGTTCACAGCAGGGACCAATAAATTCTTTTTTAAAAGGCAAAAGTGAGTCGACAATACTGGCCGATACTTCGATTATTTAAATGTGTTTTGAACTTTTCTTTGAAAGCGCGAGCTTTTATGTAAAACGAGGTGTGGCCCAAACATTTAAGTCGCTGGCTCAAGAACTGCGTACATAGGTGTATTAATATTTAATTTATCTAATCCTAGTAAAGTTATGTGCAAATCTATTTCCATGTTTGTGTCTATACGGCTTCAGGTGGTCTAACTGGCAGTATACAACCGCAGCCACCAATGAACTTCATATGTCTAATACTCAATGCCGTTAAATTGAACTTGCACGCAACCATGCCCTAGTGCGGGGTGTGGAGGGGGGGGGGGAGTGCGACTGCTTGAGGAATACATAAACAACTGCTGAACACCAGCTTAATAATAATATTCATTGATATGTATTTATTTATTAGTATGCACCTTCCTTTATGTCGAGGACACTTCACGTCGAGCGCATAAAATAAAACGAAATGAAACGCAAATATGTACCTAGTTGTTTTATAAACATACAGGTAAATAAAACAAATAACATCCAAGAAAATTATGATCTTTATTGATATCCTTCTTGTTGAAAATACCGATAAGTACAGACATCCTAATATGTATTTACATTACACCTAATCGATGAAGTGGAACACAAATACTATATGAATACATTTATATTTACAGTTTATATAAATATACATACAGCTCAATATCCTTCAAGTTAATTTGTTTTAATTATGTAATTTAGAAATTAATTACGACATTTAGTACTACTCCATGTGTTAGCTAATTAAGATGATCTTATATTACAATTTAATTTAATTAGGAACATAAGAAGAGACACCGACAAAACTAGATACATACATACACATAGTCGTTCCAGCTTCCGTACACTTCATCACGCTACATTGTAACTGAAACTACTTTTAAGATTTCATCTCACGTTCATTATTTTTCATGTCTCGAATACTTTAAATTGATATTTACGTTTCTTTGCACACAATAACAACTAACAGTATTGTGAGATCTGGCAGTTTGTTTGGCTTGGTTATACCACCACCATCACGATAACAGGTTTATAGATTTTTGTCGGTAACACGAGGAGCGAAGTTATGCCAATTGTTTTATTTGGTTGAATAATGTTTCTTTAGGTTTCAACGTGTAGTAATGGTAACTCGTTAAACGTCTAGCATCTGTGAAAATGCGCAAGTGTAGGAAAATAAAGGAATTTTTCCAAATGTTATAAAATAGTTGGCACCACCTGCCCAGGACTTGCTGACTCCGAGCCCGTTATTTCATTATTTGTGATATATTTCGTCGCGATTCATGGAGAAGAAAATGTAAAAGTAGTTTCATTTACGTCTACGATCCGTAAAAACTGAAGGAACTGAACCTGCCCGTCCGGTCGGTCCACCGAGCACACAACTCAATACTACTCCGACGTTAGTTAGTACGGTCAACATTAAGCGAACCAACTTTGTACGCTACACTCAAGTATTGGTACAGCATATTCATTTTATATATATATCAATATGTATAGTACATACATTATTTTCGAAATATAAAAGTTCAATTCATTTCAATTACGCATCACACAACACTACAATGACGTTTATTACATTAAACATTCATACATATACTTAATACATACATACATTTTAAAAGTATTTCATAGGTATTGATGTGTATTGAAATATGTGTTTTACGTAAACTCAAACTAAAAAAATAAAAGTCTCTCACACAGCCGAAATGTGTCACAGTTTATCTCTCACAGGCACAGAGCAGGCTGCACTGTACGGCGCGGCGGCTCCACGGATTTGGCAATTACAAGTGTTACAAAAAAAGAACTTGACCAGAACATCGGATTACGTAACCCACCACAAGATCATCATATCCGCAATAGCAGTTACATTTCAACTGTAAGATTTGCTTCAAAACGAGCACAAATTATCTTATCTTGAGAGTGATCAATAAACTGACAAAAAGTATTCCAGGAACCGAGACTCGTTCAAAACGTTACATCGGGACTTCGGGAACTTTCCACGACATTTTAATTGTAGTAAGTCACGCGAATAATTCTCAGAGCTGTATACTTGGGGATTCGAGCTACATTCGCAATCTGTTAACACTCTTCGCGCTCTCGACACTGTTACTGTCGATATTACTGGTGGTAGGACCTCTTGTGAGTCCGCACGGGTAGGTACCACCACCCCGCCTATTTCTGCCGTGAAGCAGTAATGCGTTTCGGTTTGAAGGGTGGGGCAGCCGTTGTAACTATACTGAGACCTTAGAACTTATAGCTCAAGGTGGGTGGCCTATTTACGTTGTAGATGTCCATGTGCTCCAGTAACCATTTCACACCAAGTGGGCTGTGAGCTCGTCCACCCATCTAAGCAATAAAAAAAACAATGTGAATATTTGTTTGTCAAGTATTTCTGCTGTGATGAGTATGACAGTATGTTCGCTTGATTATGATTATACGAACTAACGACTCGACAACAGAATCGACTTGTTAAAGTTTATGCAGCATAGAGTGAGTATTCAGAGAAAATACAAGATGTTTCATTATATCCTAATTATAAATTCAACATAGGTTTCAATTACAATCCAACATATTATTACAAAAATAGGAAAAGGATACTAGATATTTGTTACGGCTTCATGGTGAGTGAGGTAGGTAATAATACTTTGTGACTAAGGGTATATTCATTAATTATTTGCTACTTGCAGCACGATTTTGCAGTTAGTTGGGAGCTATAATAGTCGATTAAGAATTTTGAAAAATATATTATTATGACGATTGCTGGCTAATGACATAATCACAACAACGCGCCTCAGACACTTGCATAGCACAATGAATGTACCAATGGATGTTCGGTGCGAGCGCGTCTGTAGTCCACTCATGTTTATAGGTACTTTTGATTTTGATCGCTTCGGGGGAGTTTTAATTCTAATATTGAATACATTATGTGACAGACACGGTGAAGCATTTCAGTTGCATTAGTAGATCAAATAAATATTGAGGAAAAGTATAATTTATATTATCTTAACCATCTAAAGATCAAATATTAAAATTTACACCATAACTTACAAAGCACTAAACACAAACATCGCGGTACGTAATACCCACACTTGCGTGACACGCGTGCACACATGTGTACGTGCCGTATAGTTTTATCTTGACGATCGGTAGTGGCGGCGTCGATGACGCGTTCGGTGTGGCCGTGCTGTGGACTGTGGACTGTACGCAGTGCAGGCCACAGTGACAGCACGCATGCACATCGCAAACGTTTCTAAAACTATAGATAGGGACTGACCGATCATCAGACAAAACTGACACGGAGCACATCACTACACACACTACAGTAAGGACCGGCTTACACAACTACTGTTAATCGTGTCTGTCATTTGTGTCACGTTAGAGCACTTTGTGTCATTTAAATATACCGTCCAACTGCTCCCACGACGACACGAGCCGGCACACGAGCGGCACACGAGCGACACACGAGCGGCACACGAGCGGCACACGAGCCGACGGTCATCACGAAACTCAAAAGCTTCGTTTATGCCAGACGAAGACTCGACCTTTTCCGATGTTTTTGTGTGCTGTGCGACTTGGTAGTAAATAGTGAGACCACTATTGATGTCTTTGGATATCTTCTCATTGAAAGCCATGCTCTATACGGAGATCTCTTGTATCTGAACCCGTTTTTTCGGTGGAGGCACGGTACTCGACCTTTCCTTTAGCTCTGACTCGCTGCTGCGCTGTGAAGTACTTCGACATTAGCTTGGAGAGTGTACATGTATTAATGAAATGCAATTTGTTCTTTAGTTGGCAGAAGTATGGAGGTGGTATTATATGTCTTGTGCCCACCCGTGCCCTAATAGCATCAACTGTGGCTCTGATGTGAGAGAGTTCGCAGGCTCGAGACGGGTACACACTGCTATTTTTGCAGTTACTTTCAAAATTATAAACTTCTGTACGAAAATAAGTGACTTATTTTGTTCCCATTTAATAATTTAACATTGCCATTGACACGGTCGATGATTCCGGTAAGTCCCACTCCTTACTTTATCTGTGACCACAGGCTTAATAAAAAATACTTTTATTACTTTTAAATCAATGAACACTACTATATCTCTGACATTACCTTGAGAGTACTCTTCCGTGGTGACGTCACTGTTGCAGGGTCACTGTTCAGAGAGTCTCCAGCTCGGCTATTGCTGCTACCTGAGAGACCAAATGTAAATAAATAAATTAACCTAACGAATATTTCGGAAAATATGTATAAGTTCCTTAGAAAAGTTTATGGACAATGAAGACCTAGAAATCTAGTTCATTATTTACAGTATGTACCGGAAGACGTTAACAAATGGATTTGAAAGAATATGACACGTACAATAAGATTTTTTTATTGCTTAGATGTGTGGACGAGCTCACAGCCCACCTGGTGTTAAGTGGTTACTGGAGCCCATAGACATCTACAACGTAAATGCGCCACACATCTTGAGATATAGTTCTAAGGTCTCAGTATAGTCACAACGGCTGCCCCACCCTTCAAGCCGAAACGCATTACTGCTTCACGGCAGAAATAAGCGGGGCGGTAGTACCTACCCGTGCGGACTCACAAGAGGTTCTACCACCAGTAAAAAGATATTATTAGATAATTATATTTTATGTCTAAGTATATTATTATTGTGTTGTTGCGGCTTTGATATGAAAAAAAAAAAAAAAAAAACGATATGAAAGAACGAAGTCCAAATTCGGCTGCAGTAATATTTTACTATGCACAAACAGTAAGTATTTGAGCACGGTGTGCAGCTAATGGGTTTAACAATGTAGGTTAGAACCGTTTTACGAGAAACACTGTAGCTGTCTAAAATAAAAACCGTCTACAAAGGAAACTTCCACACGTCTACAGTTCCGTTACAACTCGCCATCACTTCGCAACTTTATGGATGTTTGCGCAAAAAAACCGTTTCATTCTCCGTCAATTTCATAGAACCTTCTAGAAATGGCAATTCTCTACTTCTATTGAACATTAATTTACGTACATCGGAACGTATCGGAACGATCCCGCTTGGCAAGAGTTCGCTTAGTCTGATTTAACATTTCTTTGATAACGCTTCCGTTTCCTCTGATTTACTGCATTTATAGAGCAGAACTTTTGTTTATTGTACTAACAACGATTCAGCTTACTTTAATTTTTCCATTTTATGGGTATACTATGTTTGTGGATTCACATAAATAATGTTTTCCAGTTGCTTAGGTTTGGATTGAATGATACTAAATGACATGGGCATGGGCTTACGAATGTTCTGCGTCACGAAGGAATACCATCGCGTGTTAAAATATAAACGAAGAACTGGTCTCGATACTGGTCTGAATATAAGAAGAAAGATATAAAATTAAAATTAAAATGACAATACAATATTGTCATCGACTCTTCATGCATGTGTAAGTTTTCAAGTTAATCGGATCTAGTCCATTGTGTACCTACCGTATGCTACCGGTGCACCGTGAATTGAACATTTGAAGATTATGACGGGCGGGACGTTATTGAGTTTGTTCTATGCGCGTGTCGCTTAAACATCAACGAGATTTTTGGTTACCAAAGTTTGATAGATGTGGTTATCAGCTACGACGGACTGAATCGGATTTTAAACAATCGAGACCTAATGTTGAAATTGTTATAAATATAGATATATACACAATGTGCAAAGTAAGCCCACTAAGTCTCTCGCCGGATCTACTCAGTGGGTCGCGTTTCCGATCCGGCGGTAGATTCTGCGTAGCACTGCTCTTGCTAGGGTCAGTGTCAGCAACAACGTCAGGTTTGAGCCTCGTGAGCTCACCTACTCGTCCGGTAAGACTGACATAGCCTCTCAAGGCTCTCAGCATAAAAAGAAAAAAATAAGTGCAAAGTAGCAGAGTACTGAGGACCGGTCATCCAGCACTTGCTACACAACGCCGTCCGCGCCACTTGTAATTATATATCGACGCTTGAAAGGCATACATGACTAATGGCGACTAAGAGGCGACAATAACTGGTTTGTACATAAATGATAGGCAATAACCATATTCGATGCGCAAATAAAATATATTTCTAGGTCTATTCAAATCATTTCAATCCTACAGCTACTAGCTAGATTCTACTACAGCTAGATTCGTTAAAATAAATGTTGTTTTCAGGTATTTCAACTTTAAATTAGTCTACTGTAAAGTTCACGCATTGTCGCTTAGTCAAGTTTGCCTTTCAAGCGTCGATATATTATTATTTATGTTATGATAGTGCTTCTGCGTACTATTTTGTACTTCTAATATAGAATCATGAATATTATGCAGCTTCCGGGAGTCATAAGCGTCTGTTACAATGAATTAATTTGGAATATTTGTATCATCATATTTTCTACAACTTTACTTCGCAGTTTTTGTGATGATGATTGTATTAAATGCTAATACCCATTAATGACGGCTACTACTTACCATCGGACTCGGACATCGGAAAAAAAACATGGAAAGTTTTTCATATACACTTTATCTACCGTGTGCTTTGCAAGAACACAAGTTTTACACTCAATAGGTCTAGGTAGGAATGTACGAACCGCTCTAGTCAAGTAATATCAATAAAATATCCAGTACGCTCAATTAATTTCCCGGTTGGGAACCTCTGACCAGCGGTCGCCAGTAACTCTGCTAGTTTACGACGCCGCTAGAACCCCGTCCACTCGCAAAATGAGCATTCCATTTTTATGTGGCTGTGAACTGCGGGAGCCTCCGACGAAACGGATCGGTTTTGAAAGGGCGCGATTCTATTTTGGCGAGGCAATGTTTATGGCTGGTTCTGTGTGGCTCTAGATTGAGTTCGGAAATTAAATGAACGGAACTCGTCTTGTTCGTTCACTTTCCTTGACTCTAGAATAGGTTTTTTATGTTTTTTCGCACGCTTGCAGCTCAATAAAATATATAGACTTTGCACGAATGAGCTACGTGATCACCCACGAGCTCTTCTCTATCGTAATTAGCACGTTGCTGAGCGTCGTCCCTACTTCTTCAACAGTACAACGCCACTAAACGTAAACAGTAAAAAACCTTCCTTCATAACATACTTCAAATAATAACTTGATAAAGAGGTGGGTACCATAATAACTATTTGTCATTTTACATTCGATTTTTTCCCTTCATAATAAATAATTTTATTTATGACCTATTGTAAAATCTATTAAGAAAACTAAGTTGCGGTAGGGTTATACACAAATCCATTCACCTTCTCTCCTCGTTCTCCTGTGACTACTTCGGCGTCTTCCTCTCTGCAGGTAGATTCCTGCGAAGACCAGCATATTGAGGGCCAGCAGGAAGCACCCAGCGCCGACTGTCACGCCCAGGGCTATTGTGTAGCTGTTATCATACAAAGTAATAGTATTAGATCAATCATTGATTACTCGTTCTGTGAAGTCGAGCACAGTAGAAAATTATTAAAAACTCTTTTTGGCGAATTGAATTTAAGTTTGATTTTAAGTAGACTTGACTGTGTTTACATAAATAACGGTTAAAAAGTACTCAGAACTAAATTTAAAGTATTTGTTAACCTTCTATAAGTATATGTATATTATATTCTTGTTCTACTTCTATATGTACATATACTCGTATACAGTATACTCGCGTCACACATTAGACTGAATAGAGCTTTGCACTGTTCATTTTGGAAGTAAAAAAAAATCTGACATTGTACCTCAACGTATACCTATAGCACAACACAACACAAGTAGCACCAGATGCGCCGAATGTACAGTTCCATAGTGCAACAAGTTTTGTATCAAACAATAGGAGTAGCAGACGTAAACGCGATGCTTTTAAACTTCTTTACCCTCGTTTAAAATACGTGTCCAATTTTAATTTACGACAACTAATAATTTATCTCTAATTTTCACTCCAAACTTTTTGTAATTAAAACCTAGACGGGCAATTAATACCGCCCCGTTTTCGGAATTAACCTGCAGACTCTGCAGCTCTTTATTCTCAAAAGACAATTGATATTCTCCTCAGCATCAGAAGTTGAGTTATGGCAGCCATTATTGGCGAGTGCCAAGTCCAGTTAATTCCTCGACATCTCCACGTCATCCATTATCGTTATCTGGAGGGATTCAGGAAAAAACGGCACAACTGAGAAATGGCCCGCATTACCGCGTTTTGGGACAAAACTCACGGGGGTAAACACGAAGGTAAACACATTAAGGAAATTACAAGTTCGCTCTGTAATGCCACGATCCATCTTGCCCCGTGTGGGGTTTCGTGTGACGCGAATGACGCGATGTATGCACTGCACCGTGGGGAGGTTTGGTATTATGAGAATTAAAATAATAAATGTCACACGCTTCAGTCGTGTCGACTTGTGGATTTAATGTTCGGTTGTGAGCCACCGGCGCCCTTAGTAAACACGAATAACAGTTGGGAGTAACAGTGCAAGTCTGGTTTTGTTACTTGCAATATTTTGTGATTGAGTATAGTTGATTCAGGTAATGAAAAGCGAATGAAGTGGCGAAAAAGGAGTCCGAAAAATGTATTTTTGGTTACTTTGAGTGTCTGCTATGAAGGAAGATAAATATGCGTTTGATAAAACACCTACATCGTGCGCGCTACGCTGTCTGCAACTCTATTTGTCTATCTAAGCTATCTCGATGCAAAATACATACATTTATGTTCAAAAGAACAACAGAAAGCGCTGTTGACAGATTTTCGATGGACGTATTTTGTGTCCATAATTTTATAGTTGTAAAATTTAAAACACAAGGATTACTTTCGTTACCCATTTTTCTTTGCTGAATTGTATTAATGATATGTTTTATACCTTCACATCTAATCACGCTATCAGTCAACGTGATATTATAATATTAAAAACACTTACCAATTTCTTTTATCGAAAAAGTACATGCAAAATTAACGTGAACTGATTCGCGAATTATCGCGAAGTATTTGTTCGCCCGGAAATTTAGAAAGACAAAATTCTGTTGGATATCCGAGAATGAAAACAAGTTTAAATTAAACTAAATCCTAATCTATCCTGTTCTAGTGATCTCACACAAAGCTAAACGTATCAAAAGTAGTTGTTTTCGTCGAAAGTTCAATGCATACAAACTTAAGACGTTCAAAAGTGATCAATATATCATTGAGCAAATTAACTAAAGAACAAGATTCCTAGTGCTTCGGAAAAGTTCACGTAAGTTCCAACAAGTCAATACTACGCGAAAATATTTGGTTTAAATAATAGTTGGAAAACTTTTATCGAGTTTCTCCTATCAGTGGAGTTACGTTGTAAACAACAGGAAAGTGCAACAATGCAACATGTCTAAACATCAACCAACACACTTTGGGAAAGTTGAAAGCTTTAACAAAGCAATATACAAACTGTGTTGCAGTCGTTTCTGTTCTACTTGTTAACTTAGCAACCGACTTCGCCTCGGATCGTCCATCCTCTTTGTACTTTGAGGGCTCCTGAAATCTAAATTATCCGTGCTCATGCTCATGGGCTTAACCTGAACGAATTTGCTAACACTAGCCCTAGTAAGAGCAGTGATTCACAGAAACTACCACCGGATTGGAATCGTGACCCACTGAGAAGATCCGGCGAGAAACTCAGTGGCTGTGTATGAGTTAGCTTACTCGCCGAAACCTTCTCGAGGACGGTGATCGGTGCTTGAGGGGCTAAAAGCACCAAATGAGAATCCGGGGGTTCCGACAAGACATGTTTCGAGCGACGGCGGCTTTGCGTTGCCCCGTCGCATGGGTCAGATAGGTAATTAGCGGCTAGTCATCAAAGCTAGAGCTTGACCTAAGGTGCTGAGCTCGCCTACACGTCCGGGCAGGCGCGTTACAACAACAGAGCCAGAGGGTGCCTTACCATCTGCGTTTGTATAAAGTCTAAGGAGCAAGCCCAACTGATCTTGCGATTGACGGATTAGTTTAAACTCGCATTAGGTTGAAAAGAAATCTGCTGGAATAAAAATTATTCACACATATACAAATACGAGTCAAACTTTGTATGAGACAGGAATCGCACATATGTATGTATCTATCAAACAATCAACAAACTTATCTTGTCTTAGTTATTATTTTTTTGTATTAGATTTTTTGCTAAAATGTATTATTAGCTTTGTAATTCACGTAATAAAAACAAAAACAAATTAATAAAACAAAAGCCAACGCACCAAAACAAAAATCCACAAATTTCATATGAAATTACGAAAAGTTACCTTGCGTTTCGTCGGACCGTGAAATTCTCGTTTTCTTTCTAACAGATACAATACAATTTACAAAATCTCATTTATTATATTTTGTTGAAAGTTTAATTTGAGTTTAGCATTGTTCATGTTTGTGTGCAAACGTTCAGTTTGTTTTGGTTTTGCTCGTGTCGGTTATTAAGCGTCTGCCAGCTGCTTGCGAACGAACGCAGGCCTCTAGATCGAGCACAGAATTAAAAGCAAAAAACTTCATTACTCTATACACAGGGTATGTAAATACACGAACATCTTCAGGCCAGGGAATGACGTCATGGAGACAAAATCAAATCTGCAGAATTTACTGTGTAATCAAAAGTCACGTATTTCTGTCGCTTTCAAGAGTTAGACAGCCGTGTAAGTAATACTGTTGAATCTGGACCTCGATTGGGTCGTCTCAAATTGGGTGGCGGAACTCATCCTGTTGTATCCGTCTGGTCATTTTCCTTTATACGTCAATAAATATCCGATGAGTACAAGTCTAAGTATCAGTGGCGTGACTGAAATGTGATGTACATGAAGAATTTACTACATTACAGTGCACTTGTTAATTTGCAGCCGATACTTTACCACAGCTGCGATGTGTTTAGAATAAGGTGATTTATGCACAACCTGTACCTGTAATATTGTGAGTCTAACGTGAGTGAGTCTTCTTTAGGCGTGGGCTGCAGGGAAGGGAGAGCCGACAGAGCGGGTCGCGGGGAGGGTGAAGGCTCGCACTCTTCTACCTCTGAAGAATCTTCTTCTGCTTCGGAAATTTCTTCATCATCATCCAAAGCTGCTGTAGTTGTATATAGTTCTGGGAAGATCTCTCCTATGAATAAAAATGGTTTAATTATAATACCATAATGTAAACTTTCATCAAAAGTTGTAGTAAAATGTTCTTCTTGTCGTCACTGTCGCGTACATGCGCACTCCGTGGAAGTCAAACCAGGATTGCAAAAAATTGTGTGATGATTGAATTAGTAAGCCAAGGGTATCGCTATTATAGACGGACAACGGAGAGGCAGTGGTTGTACGTAGAATGAGTCAATGTCGTATATTCTGACATATTTACGTTTTAAGCATTAAATTATTAACAAAAGACGATTGGCCTATTATCAAGGAAGATACTTTATTTCGAAAGTTCAAGAGTGCAATATTTACTCCTGTAATAGAATATAATTTCTTAAAGGGCTCGGACATTTGTAAAGAATAGACAGACCTACTCGTCTAATAATACAAGGTTTTTTTTTGACAAAAGTAAATAATGTGAACACAAAGACGATGAACCAATCCTAAGCCTTAAAGGACATATCGTTACAAAAGAAAACCCTATCTGTAACGCACGGTCCAGTTGACCTCAAACGAAATGTACTGCGCGTGAACTTTGGGTCATCCACAAACTCGGGATACTTATAAAAGGAAACCTCAAATGAATGGCCCACACGGCCTATTCCCGACAAAACGGCTAGGGACGTGACGTCACTCGGTTCGATGCTACACGATCGACGACACACAATTTCAAACGTCCACAACAATAAGTTGGCGCATGGCGTGAGATATGAGGCTGTAATCTCACTGTAGTAAGATCACTGTACTCTACGAACTGGGTTTTACTGTTGAGATATACCTACAAGGGAATACCGTGCTCACTAGGTTATCTCGTCTCAGTACAACTGGGACCCAACATGTTAACGTACATGACGGAGTACATATTTGTTATGGTGATTATAAAAACGTGCTTAACATTAAATGTGTATCTATACATTTATATGCACCCGATGAAATAATTAAAGTAATGTAGGGTGTTTGTTTCCCAGCTCTAGCACAACGTGTAGAGGTTTATATAGATTAGTCGGGTACAAAGGAACGATTGTTTCGATCCCGACGAGCCCAAACCATTGTTAACTAACTAAACTAGAAATTAAACAAAGACGCCACAAATTAGGGACAGATCTCGGCTGTTTCATTGTTTAATTCTAGTTTTTAATTGCCTAGATATTTTGTGTTTTTAATTCAAATCAGTACTGAATAATTTCTTCAATCGGTAGCCTACTGCTGTGGAAGGAAATTGTTATTTTATGAGAAGGAAAAATATGCGAACCGTGAGTCACAGTGAACGCGTTACACTACAAGCTGCTTAGTAGTCGCAACTACAACCTGTTATCTCAAAACAAGCGGTGGCAGTCGTCTTTACGTTTTGGTAACAATGACAAGCTCGTCTACATTTTTAAACAACCTAAAATACCCAAACTACTTCTATGTATCGACTTTACGTAGGTTAATGATAACAGAAAATTTAAAAACATGATTCTCGTCCAGGATCAAACCTAGAACGTCTGATACCAGCACAGGTAGCTGCAAGCGCGCTCGTACTGTATAATTAGTAAGATTTTCATTTCAATTCCCGGTATCCCCTAATCTAATGTTTTAAAACTAAATTCATAATGCTCATAAAAGCACTTCACAGTAAACTTAAATCCCTGGCAAACTTTAAATTCTCAACTCGCGAAACCATTAAATTCCCTCAGCCTTAAAACGCACGTCAGATCGTTCCAGGAGTTAATGTTCCCGGCAGTAACTCAGGCGTCTTGTGAACAAAATGGCGGCGGTACATTGTGGTGGCACCGACCCGTAATGGTGGGCCGAGCGTTTGCCTCCTGATTACCTTTTGTTATTCAGTCGACGATTATGCCGAAACTGCTCCTTTTATTGCTTAATGAGTGATTTGCTTAAATCACTGAAGGTCTTTTTTAGAATCATATAATTTGGGATTGTCAAGGCGTGAAGCGTTGATCTAAATGCGTTTAAGTTGAATACATCCGGTAATCTCCTGATGCCGAGTGGGTTGTAAGCGGGACAGCTCGCACTTGGAGAGCTCCGGGTGCAAACTAAGACTGCTCGTACAAAGGCATGTCTATTTATTATGATTGCATTTAATCAGAAGCTCGACTTTATAAACTCTTACTACAGACAGACAGACTGATGGTAAAGAGACCATATCCTTTGGAGGACGGACCTAAAAAAGTGATTTAGAACAGCCATTTATGCATTTTAAAAGTTACCTATTCAATTATATTAGGGCATTTCATTAAACGACAAATAGTTTAAATTATGCAGTGATCATTGAATATTAAATATGAATTTGAATACATGTGTACTTAATTATGGTAATTCCGATTCAAGTCGATACCAACACCTCATGTGTGCGACTAATCCTAATGAGAATCTTAATAAGACTGGTAATGTTTGGATCAGCAGATTAGCTTAAAGACACTAAACGTACTGAAGAAGATCATGGTAGATGAGTGCGGTGAGCTGGTAGCGTCTACTCGTATATACCCTTATCCTTATGCCAATCTATATCATTCTACTTGGAAGAATGTGGTAATTATTTCAATGCCATTAAGAGTTCATTCCCAAGTCTTAATGTTAACATTTTCACTTTGTATTACAAGTTTGTTGTTACAAATATTATGTAATAGTATTACAATTTAAAAACCTTCACAAAAGTATTAACTATATGTAATCTATTTAGTATTTTTTTTTCACTGCTTAGATGTGTGTACGAGCTCACAGCCCACCTGGTGTTAAATGGTTACTGGAGCCCATAGACATCTACAACGTAAATGCGCCACCCACCTTGAGATATAAGTTCTAAAGTCTCAGTATAATTACTACGGCTGCCCCACCCTTCAAACCGAAACGCATTACTGCTTCACGGCAGAAATAGGCGGGGTAGTGGTACCTACCCGTGCGGACTCACAAGAGGTCTTACTACCAGTATTTCATATAATCACGCTTGAACTATGAATGAAGTGCAACTTTAAGATAAATGATTATTGCGTAACTGAAGAAAGATATTGTTATCATTGAGCCAAGGTCGCTTTTCGGGCGTTCCAAAGATCTCATTAGAAATGTAAATTTTTACATTCTAGATACTTCCAAATTGATTGATACCCGTAGATCTCAAGGATATTTAGCTCCGCGATGTCAAACTTGACCTCCTGAAGTTCAGTTTAAGCTTATAAGAGGCACAAATGATACCGCCCGGGCTATAGGCTCGTCCCGTCGCGGCATCGGCGGCGGAGGCAGCGGTTAATGAGGGCGTCCCGCACACCGCCGGAAATGGCACTAATGGCGCACGATAATAAGACATGCCCCATTCAAACGGCGAAACGAACGTGAACCTATTTCCATCAAGCATAAGTATTCCACCTGGTTCCTTTTATGGCGGATAATTTGAGGGGATCGCTGTTTTTCTGGTCGTTACAACCTTAAAGTTCTAAAACGCAAATTAGGTGGCGATAAAACAGGATCGAGTGTGTCGTTAACGCGATCGTTATGTGACACGGTTTCAATCGTATGGCCTATTTATGGGGCGAGCCGATATTTTTTCAAGTTAATGCCTTAAATTGAATGCTGCGTGCTGCGTCCTAGCAGTGTATGACTTGTCCTTAATAAAAATACAATTGCGTCCTGAGGACGCCAAGATCAATAGCGTTCAGCAAACCGATAAATTGTTGTGCAACGCTCATTCGGTTCAATTTTAGGGTACTCAGTGTACACGTTGATCCGGGCTGTGTCCTGAGGGCGGTGCTACTTACAAGTACGGATCTCATTCATGTGACAATCAAAATCGTACTTCTAATCGTTTTCCACAACAGATGATTAATACTCCACTGGAGTCCTCGCTTGGTGTACCGTAAGCTACAACGGTCTGAGTATTTTTTTTCATTTGAAATATTAAAAACTACTACAAAATCTTCAAAATTTCAAACGTGATTTCCATTTCTGATAAGGTTCTGCTACAATCTAAGGGATAAATAAAGTACCTATTTGGCATTTGAATTGAGTCTCAGCACATTATTACGCTCGCCGGGTCCAGACAGCTTTCAATGTAAAGCAATTACACCTTCGGCCTATAGCTATCGTATTATCCCGATAGTCCACTTGATGATTAATTATAGACACAATACTCGTAGTAGCAATTACAATGATATATCAGTTTGTAAGCGCCCGACCAAACAATATGGAAACTGACGACGTAAGATATAATTTATTACGTATCTAAAGTTAGTGTTTGCCTTGTATTCGCGACTTCTGTCATTCGTTATCAACGAGAGCACGGTTCACCTAGCCTGACGGGCCTTTTGAGACATGAGGTGAAATGCTCATTTAGTATAACGACTAAGTTACTAGCAGGAAACTGTGATTACTTGTGGCTGAAATAGACAGAAAGATGGTGTCTAAGTGTCCGTGCCTACAACACACAAGCACGCCGGACACAGGGCTGGCCGTGAACTGTTAACGCTTTCATTTTTATGTACAACTTATTGATGCTGTCTCGAGTCTCTCGCTTCAACAGTCTCCGGTCGAGCGGGGCCCGGGCGGCTGGTGGTGAACAGTACACACCCGCGAACATGGCGGGGTGCACGGAGCGGAACTGGTGGTGGCGCGGCGCGGCCCCGGGGCGATGCAGCTGCGGGACCAGGTGCAGCCACAGCGCTAGCTTGTGACCCCGGTAGTGACTCTTCACACGAAGCTTTGTACCTGACAAATACGAATCTTGGAAAGACTTTCGATTTTATCTCACATAATGGTAACACTAAAGGCGATTCAATAAAATCTATACTAATATATAAATCTAGTGGTTTTTACGGATGTTCCGTTATAACTACTGAACCATGCATCCGATTGACTTGAAACTTGGTATCCATGTAGAAAGTACATGTACTTAATGGATAGGCTCATATTTATATGAGTGTTGGACTCCTTACACCAGTTGCGGGGGCGTTAATCATGAGAATCTTTGTGGGAGTGAGAAATAATAATGTTGATTTTAAATGCTCAGCGAAGCGAACGGGTACAACTAGTCTATTATAATATGGGTAATACAATAGAATTTTCAATTTGACAACTGTATCCGAGTGAAAGCTGACATATACTGTGTTGTATCTATGAGCTTCATATTGCCTATTACCGGGCAGGCGGGCCGCAGAACATTAGTATGGCGAGAACGTAAATATGCTCGCTCAATTTGTACGCTGCTACTAAAAAATGAAACACGCGGACTTTAGCTTGTCAAACTTTAAAAAAAAAAGCAAAAACAGGCATGCACGACCCTCCCCTCGAACTACCAGGGCTACGGTTCTAGTATCTGCGCCTTAACTAACTTATGCTTGCTTTGTGTTTACTGTTAGCACCTTACTAATTCCAATACTCTTTTGCCATTTCCAGGCCTTCCACACAACGTAAATGTCACTTCACTAAATTAATAATACTAATGAGATTAACAAGAATCCGACTTTTGACTATATCCTTAACTCCTAAATAAATATGAAATTAAAACAAGATGTAATTTATCTTCCTCCATATATCGATATCAAAGAATTACTAAAAATTCTAGAACTTTCTTAATGAGAGTGGTACTTAATAGATCGCAAGTAGAGAGTCAATTACTCATGAAAGATTAATAGGCGAGAACTTAACTACACATATGTATGTACATATGTAATAGTTATAATGTGTTAGACGTATCATAATTACTGTGCTTGTTCTAACGGAAAATGTAGTAGATCGTTGTAATTACAGTGTCAGTGAATATTCGAGATTTCTGAACAATTAGTCTATATAATCCCAAAGAATATTTGCCTTTGAAACTAACTGGGTTGTAATTTGTTGCTTGGGTAAACCTTGCCGATCTACTCGTGCATGCTAAAACACAGACAATGTTTGTTGACGATATTCAAATTGTAAGTTAAATCATCACTCAATGGCTTTGAGAAAAGCTATTTTTGTTAATTAAGGATTTTATGTAAGGCATTCAAATCGTATGAAGTGTTGAGCTTTGGTAAAAGGGTTTTCAATGTTTGTACCCAATTGGTTGCTGATTTTTGGTTGGGATTGATTTGAAAAATTAGCAAATATCATTCATCAATTAATAAAATTATATGTTTTGACTTATTAATATGATTTTAATCTGTCCGATTATTGAACAACAGATACGACCTTCGAGTATCTTTCATGATTCGTTTATAGTAGTAGTGATAGCCTCACTTCATTTTTTTGTTAAACTGTTGCTACCCTCCCTCTCTTCTCCTCTCTCCAATTTATATAAAGGCTCCAGAGGCAAAGCATGTTGTACAGGCTGCGCTAGTAGTCCATTGAACCAATGGATTCATTACTGCTGCCAAAGCAACGATTCATTGTAGTCTAACGGACACGATAGCCGGTATTCCAGTGTAGAGAATTGGATTTCATTTCTAAAATCTCTACGTCTCAGGTTAATCTCACGTTTATGTGCTCTAGTATCCGTTGAATTTAAGATGATAGGCTTTAAACTCGTCTGCCCGACGCCCTTTCGGTTATTTTCCTTACCTATACTTAAATACTGTTGAGTATTGATCTCATATCTAGGCCAAGTAACTGAGTTGTCGTGATGCCTCTCCTCACTCCGCGCCGTAGGGTCCCCGGTTTTCGCGAAAGCAGCGAGCAGAGCGACGGCAGACTCGGCCACGGCTACATCCCCACGGGAGTAGTTGCGAAGGTTTGAAGGTGTTCCACTTACAAGTGGCAAACCCAAGAAGTATGGTAGAGTTTCGCTTGTTATGCTTCCGAGGCGCTTTGAGGAAGGAATGAAAATTAGCATCAATATAAAACGAAATAAAAGCGGTCTTCGGTTTTTTGTTTAAGAACAAATGTTTTACTACTTCATACATATATCTTTAAAATTTTGAATTTTCGAATAATAAAGGCCTTTGGGATAAATTAGATTTTCTAGCCAAAAGATATATTTATAATAACGATAGGGCACGCTGTGAGTCCGCCAGGTCTAATACTACCTTCCTGTGTGTTGAAGTCCAAGAGAGTTGTTATTGTTGTTCTAATGCAATTGAGACTTCTATGGCGATGTTGCGCTGAGAGACTTGGTGCTCGTCACTCCTTCCCGATAATACTTAACAGTCGCAGTAGGGAGTTCCAACTGCACATTTAATGACACCAGCTATTGAGGGGTACGAGCCTTGAACTATTTATTCCAACACATACTGTCTGTTAGGTATACTATTATTAGTACCTGAGGATAGTCAGCGTCCTTGGTCTGATGAGCGAAATGAGCAAAGTAAGTAGTAGAGCCGCGTCGCGCGTGTAGTTGTGCGAGGCGGAGCGCGGGCGCGGCCACGGCGCCGTCGCTCAGGGAGTCCAGCGTCGCGTCTCTGATGTTGATGGGATGCTGGATCGGCTTCTCCCAATCTGTGTACTCGTTGCGGATGGCCGCGAATATCTCGTTGCGGTGGTAGCGGTACACGTTGCGGACGTACGTTCGGAGGATGCGGTTTCTAAATAGTTTACGTGTGCGTAAATACACACATGCATACAAATGTACGTAGGTTCGGAAAGACCCTTATATTTATGTTTGACGTACATATTTCAAATAGGTATGTTTTTATTTATCAGAAACTTTTTGCAGTATTTAGTGTAAGCTATGCGTTGATTACATCGGTATTATACTTAATATTAAAATTTCCACTGCTTTGAAGCGACAGTTATGTCTATCAGCTAGTAACTACATATTTCATTATCTTATTTATTACCTTCTGATTTTAAACACGCCCACTCATTATTTTTCTTTAAATTAATGACACTATAATTCCATGTCAAATATCATAAGCTGACCTGTGCTCTTCTTCAAATCCATGTCTGATATCGTCTTCATTGAAGAACTGATAGCTCTCCGTGGTAGACACGACAATAGCGAGAGAGCAATCAAGGAACGTGTCGCTCGCATGCAGCGCCCTGGTGGGGGGCTGGCCGGCGGGGACGGAGGGCGCCCAGCCGGAGAGGAACCGCGCCTTTGGGGCTTCCACGGCTAACAGAGCGGCCAGTGGACGAGCCCGGATGCACTCTACAAACCTATGCATGCAATATTGATCGTTGTTTTTTTGGCAACGAGACGTACTTACTACCTTCAGATGCTCTACAAGATTCTGTTTTAAGTATGATGCTTGTTTTGATGTTCCACGGATACTACGTATTTATACCTGACATTTTTTCAAAGTAAAGTTAAAGCCATCGTGGGGTAATCGATAAGAGGCCCCGTGTGCTGGTACGAGCGATGCGACTGTGCCGCAACTCAGACACCGCAGACCACAATTGAATTATTTTTCAATACTTAACACCAGGCGTTTATTTTAACAGATATTTTTGTAATGAAAAACATACTTAACGAATGTTCACGAATGATCTCCACGATGAACGGATTAACATCGTGTTACAAAAATCAAACCCATAAAAAATTTAATTTGCGTAATTAGTCTACCACTGAGACATAAGCCTCAAGTGTCACGATGGGTGGGGCATTCACGTTGTGATGTCTACGTGCTTCGGTAACAATTAAACTGTTCTCCCAACGAAACTTCAACCACGTGTTTTAAAACGACATCATCACATAACATTATCAACCTGTAATCACATACTCGTCGGGCTTAAACAAATCGAAACAGCTAACAAATAATGTTCTAGTAGGTTTCAAAAATTCCTTACCAGTTCTCATCATTAGAATTTTCTGGGATGCACCGCAACGCTTGCGCGGTGTGGTCCCTGGTCAGCGTCGCGTCCGGGGCCAGAGCCGTCGGACTCAGCGCCGAGCCGCTAAGAAGCAGCACACGGGATACGAGACCTGAACGTCATGATACAGACTAACAACAAACGTATTCACATTTACTACCAATATTACAAAAATATAGTAGTAGTCCTGGGCAGTTATGGAAACCGATAACATTACTATGATATGTGCATCTCGTCGCCTACCTTGACACGCGACATCTAACAGTAACAGATTTATTACCCTTCAAAGCTGGAAAGCGCAGATGCAGTTAGTAACTCATCCCTGAGAGCTTACAACTGGCTGTATCGCAAGTATCTGAGTGAGTAGGACAGATAAGTAAGAAAATGTTGAAAATAACACTACTGACTGATACTCGTGTAGATCCTAGTAGATGAGGACGAGGCTGTTACGGTTTTATGTAGCGTTTTTCTACAAGTGACTATAAAGTATCGAAACGTCGGGAATAATATTACGACAAAAAACAGCGAGACTTAACCTTAACCATAACAGTATTTTGAATTATGTCTTTTTTTTTATTGCCCTTGTAGGCAGACGAGCATACGGCCCACCTGATGGTGAGTGGTTACCGTCGCCCATGGACTTCAGTAATGCCAGGGGCAGAGTCAAGCCGCTGCCTACCGCCAAACCGCTGTCTACGTTGAGAAAACCGAAAAAATAAGAGTGCTATTATATTCTTAGATTATTGAAATTGCAGGAATGGCTTACAGTGACGTACAACGATAATACATATCTAAATATATTTATTTGTTGTACACTAAAAGTTTGATAAATGTTTAAGAAAATCAGGTACGGAGATACTTGTCTTTGAGACATTGAGGTAACCAATTATTTATTTCTCTTGTTCTTCAGTGCCACACAGCGGAAATTCATGAACTGATCAACAGTGCGGATGCGTAGAAACGGTAACAACATAAGTTATATACGTCGTAGTAAAACAGAATTAAATTGTAAAAGTATGAGTCAATACATGCGGCATATAGTGAGCGGTATGTAACCTTTAGTGTCCGGCATCATGAGCATGGCGTTGGCGAGGGCCGCCCCAGCCGCGTGTCCGGCGAGGGTGAGTCTCCGCGCATCGCCCCCGAACGCGGCTATGTTGCGGCGCACCCAGCCCAGAGCCGCCGCCACGTCCAGCTGGGCCGAGCCTCCTGCTTGCTGCACGGGGTCCGTGTCTATCCCTGTTGTTAAGTAGCCTGACACCAAAATAATACATTCATTGTAAATATTATATGTACATCATAATTTTGTTCAGACATTTTCGCTTTTTATGAATCTATGGAAAAGAGTAATATATATTTTTTCTCCTACCTACGCCGAAAGTTCGGTTTTCCTCCCGCTGTACTGGGAAGAAAGTGTAACTTTTCCTCCCTGGGTACTGACAAGTGCGCATGCGCATTAGTTTCTACGTCTGCTCTCACGCACCTAATAGTCTCCGCCATTGTTATGCTCGGGTAATTTGCAATATTATGTTTAGTATAAAAGTGAAATAAACAAAAGGCCATAAAATTTAATAGTAAAGTATTAAACAAAGATGAGTTCATCAGACAGTTCTTATTCAATTAGTAGTAGTTTATTTAAAAATAAAAAAAAACAGTTCAATTGTTTTTTTTATGAGTATGAGTAGGAAATGTCCTACTTTTCTCCCTTGGTGCACAATGTACTATTCACCATCTCGCAACTCAATAGTGGCTTACCTAATAATCCTATCCTATAATTAATAGTAATGACGAGCAGATGTGCCCGGGCCGCCAGCACGGCTCCGTCGAGGGTGTTGGCGGAGCCCCACTCGTGGGACGGCGCCCCGAGCCACATCACCACCGCGTAAGGCGCCTCCACGCCTCGCGCACCTGCCCAATATACGAAATTGAGCTACTACCTACATTCAACTACAGTGTACACTCTAAAAAACAACTCAAACGGAAATAGATTATGCGTTTTTGAACAAACAAATGAACAGTAGCAGCGTCCATATGCTCACTTCGAACGAATGATCCCCCTGCCTTGTGTGCTCTTCCCGCAAATGTACGCATCCGTTAGAGCTGGTAACTTAGGATTAAAACTGGGAGGAACTGAGATGAACGCCCTCCTGGAAAGGACAATGTTTCAATTGCGTTTGCGACTGGATCGTGAGTTCATCTCCCGGATTACAATGTTATGCCGTAAATAAATAACATATAGTATTATCGCTACCGTACCGCAGTAATATAATGCTACAGTCCAACTGAAGAATTATAAAATACAAAGTAATGCAGATTACACAGAGAATAATAGAATAGTACAGGGAAAGAAGACCCTAAATAGAAAAACAACTCACCGCTACCGGGCACATAGATGTTGAGGAAGAGACAGTCTTCGCTTTGATTGGCGAGCATCGGTACCGCGGCCTTCAACTCGTTGTAGATGCCAAGTGGCATGTTCAACAGCGCTGCGCTCCTGGATATGAATTAGTCAATATTAATATCTTTATTTTCGCAATAATGAAATAACACTTTTTTTAGTCAATATTATCATAAGTCAAAATACTGAAGAAATTTTACTCAAAATATTAATATCGATTAATCCATTTAGGGAAACAAAGTTACAAATAAATCGAGATATCGATCGACTAATCGAGATATGTATCGCGGACACAGAGTCGCAAATGTGTAAACTCAAAGACTCTCTCTCGGTTCTTCAACGTCGGGGTTCTAGACCCGCGCTTACGTCGTCGCCGAGTCTGAGTTATTAAATTTGTGCCAAATACTTACAATATGTTACTAGATACTCCTCCTTCAATCCCTAGTTATAGTATTGATGCTGGAGGATCGATTATGCCACTGAAAATAACTAAACGAGGGAAAGGGCAATCTAACCTCAATTTAAGCAACTTGGGGATTCAGGCAAACTACAACCCAAAAAGATACAGGCGTGATTCCGCTACACACAAAATATTACGATTGTACTATTTAAACTAACGTGTTATACTTTTAGAACTTTCGAAATCAATTTGAGGCGATGTGTTTCAACTAATTTACTGTCGTGTTCATCTGAGTTGTGTTTATTTTTCTTTTCCGAGATACTTTTAGAAGAGTATTCAACTGTCCAGTTTTGTTTTAGAATTATTGTTATCTTTTACATTACAGAGTAGAGTAAAATTCATTGATAAGAATTTACTTGTTGGATATGTCCGGGTATCGCTGGGGGCAGACAGGTGCGAATGCGTCTGCGAGCCTCGTGCCGGACCAGTTTGGAGGCGCTGGTGGGACTCCAAGTCGCGGCGGGGGGCCTGCGTAAGGGACACCCAAGAACACTTCCACTGGTTCCAGGCGGCGGGAAGCCGGTTCCACTATGATGCCGCGGATTGCTCCTAAACACAGAAGTAAATTTTTTTATTAAGTCATCATACTTTTCTCGTCTCGTAATCATTTCTCGTTTCATCGTAATTTTAAAAATACAGATATACGAGACCGTAAACGTAGCTAAAAAAATAAAAAAGGTTAATAATATTCTATAAGTTGAAATTTAAATAAATAATAGTTTAAAAAAACTAAAAAACATATATAAAATTCAACTAAAAATAGAAAATAAATTTTAATAAATTTAAATTGAAAATAGTGTATAAAAAACATTTTATTGTAAAAAAAGCGTGGGGTGCTTTTTAAGATATTATTGAAATAATAATTCTTCTATTCATATCTGTCAGAAAAATATTTATAACTAATAACACCATGCACCCCACGCTTTTTTTACAATAAAAAAAATTTTTTTTTCACTATTTTCAATTTAAATTTATTTTCTATTTTTTAGTTGAATTTTATATAAAGCGTGTTTTTGAGTTTTTTTAAACTATTATTTATTTTTAATTTTTTAGTTAATTTTTTTTGCAAATTGAATAATGGAATAATCTTATCAAATTAGTGTATTGTCAACGGTCCTCGATAAATCTACAAAGTTTGAATGAAATCTGGCCGCTTAAAGTGGGTCAAAATCGCGTCTAAAGGAGTCAGTTACAAACATACAAACATACAAATATACATACATATAGGTACATACAAGTGAAGCTAATATAAAGCGTGTAAAAACAGGACGATTTTTTTTCCTCCCTAATCTGATAGCCTTGAGAGGCTATTTCAGCGGAACCTTAACTAGTAGGTGAGCTCACGGGGCTCAAACCTGAGGACGTTGCTAACACGAACCCTAGCAAGAGCCGTGCTTCGCAGAATCTACCGCTGGATCGGAAACGCGACCCACTGAGAAGACCGGCGAGAAACTCAGTGGGCTGTGTCTGAGGGTTAATTTACTCGTCGAGCCCTTCGTCACAATCGACGGGTTCGACGAGAACGGTGACCGGAAAAGCACCGTTAGTGGATCGGGAGGATCCGAAATGACGTGCAGGACGATTACAAAAAATATATATAAATATCTTAAGAATGAGAATATTTTATTATCTTGAAGAGCACACTTTTTTTTAGTGCTTGGTGGACGAACTCACGGCCCACCTGGTGTCAAGTTTTTAGGTTTTTTTTTTTTCTTAATCACTTTTCTTTATTGAACTTTTTTTTAGTTCAGCTATCTACAAAGCGTGTATTTAAGTTTTTTAAATTACTATTTATTTTTACCTTTTTTATTCATTTATAAACGTGATAATTTCATAGTCATCATGGAAGAATCAGCTTTTTTCAGAGATAATTTTATTAGGTCGTTCTATGATATTTTGTCTAATGCATAACCATAACACGGCACTCTCCCTGTCAACTTCTAGCAATCGAATACTTCTATCCGATCGTAGGTTCTGTGACTACCGAGGTCGTAACGGAAGTATCAGGGTTCGATTCTGGAGGAGGAGCCTGAGAAACGGCTATTTTAATCAAGGAAGGCAAGACATTACCGTGGGCTCGGCGTTCATCCTGAAAGTCCTGAGCTGTATAATCGGAAAAATTTTAACAAATTATTGTATTGTCATCGGTTCTTGAGAGGTTACACTTACAATAGGCTACAGTTTTCAAATCGATAGGACATTTTGAGGGGGGTGAATAACGTTCAAAGATTCCGTTACATACTACGTTAATAAAGGCATGCTAAAAATACATTGTATTCATCCAAATTCCTAATACCTCGGGTATTGTTCCGATGTTTGTTTATTTCTAATAAAAATTAGAATGTAATTAACGTAAGCACAATGACTCGAACAAAATATAGAATGAGGAAAGGTTAGAATCTGATGAACAATGGGCACATGAATTCATTTCGGAAGACAATAAAACGAGCGTACATGAAACACGACGGCGAGGCGCCCGCGAACGAAACAAATAAATTGACTCCTTCATTTACTCGATCCCCTCTAAAGGTATCGTTTGTCCCATCCTCGCGACCAGCATCCCGCGGATCAAGAACAATAATTAATCTGATCTTACATTCCGATGTTGGGAGTCGAAATAGTGGGTTAGCCGGGTATGATTGGCTGTCCCCGGGTCTGGGTAGTTAAATGGCCGTACCTGGGATACAGAGCAACAAAACTTGTGGATTATGATAAATGAGCCCCTTAGTTTTGGATTAACATGGCGTTTTAACTTTGTAATTGTATGTAAATTAATTGCGAATGTTGGGTCTTGTTTATTGTTTACGGACCAGAACTGGGAGATGTAAACCCAGTAATGTTTGTACAAAGTGGTTCAAGTGTTTACAGAATGATATACTTTGAGTCAGCACGCAATGTACGTGTAATGTCTGCATTATCAATATTTGTTGTTATTGCGTGAACACAACGTAGCCGGCCTCAACTAGCTAACTAATACAGTGCTGCATTCTTCCGTACAATTAGTAGTGCGTGTGTGCTGTGTAGTACAGGCGCGTGGCCCTACCGAAGTGTCGGTGTCTCTGTCGCCGGCTGTCTTCAGTCGCTTAGTTTAGGAGCTCGTCAGTCCTTCCAACGACATAAATAGCTATTTCTAAGTAGCTTTACCCTAAATCGGTGCCCTTTCTAACTATGTCAAACATAGGTCATAAATAATAGGCAATCAATCCTACTGCTATGCATATTGCTGAAGTCGTCGTGGGGTATACTGAAACCTTAAAACTCATATCTCAAGGTGGGTGGCGGCATTTGCATTGTAGATGTCTATTGGTCACGGTAACTAACTAACACCAGGTGGGCCGTGAGTTCGTCCACCAACCTTAGCAAAAAATAATAATGATATGATGATGATGGAAACCCAATAAAATAAACTTCCAGACTGTCAATTTGCGCTGAGTGGAATGAAACTTAAAAGTGTAGAAATATTTATTACAAAGATCAAAAAGTTAGTTCGCACAATATTCAAAACGTCAGAAATGATATGATAACAGTAATTATCATACTTAATTAATTTGATAATAATATAACAAGTGCGGGGTGCTTAACATTCCATGTTACAAATAGTTCATTATTCAAACTAATGTAGAAAGTGTAGAATAACCAAAAAACTGTGTCCGTACAATAAATAGAAACGTCCGATGAGCACGTGGGATTTTAGAACGAATGGCATTGAAAGCTTTTCAGATATGTTCGCTAGCTCTGCGCCCTGGCAGTCCCGGCACCACGTCCTCGCTGTTTGCTACTCCAAAACTATGCACCGTAATTGTAGCAAGTGGTTAGCTTAGGTTATATTAGGTAATGAGGAGGTAGGTACCTGTGTGAGTGTGTACGATCCGCGAGCTGTACCGCGGGCCGGCGGCGGCCAGCGTCGCTAGCACCAGTGCCGCGCACCACCGCCACAAGCACTCCATGCGCCATCACGCGACGCCGCCTGCAGACAAACACGCGCCCGTCAGACACACTACCAGATCCCCCCTGTTGCCAACGAGAATCAATCACATCGTGTTCTGCTGTTGGGAATGGAAATAACATAGGAAACTTTATATTTCCATAAAACATCGGTAATCGCAAGAAAAGCATTTAAATTACTTCTGAAATCAAGACGACTTTAATGGATAACGATTTAAAGTAAAAGAAGAACAAACGATACTTAATACTTCCTTGACGAAAAATAAAAGATACGAGATTATTGAAGGAAATATTTGTATAAAATATTACAGAGCGGATTCAAAAGAAAAACAACAGAATTGCGACAGCTTCTCCGCGCGACAAATACGCGACAAATACGTTACAAAATCTCGCTTCGAATCCTCCTTTTGTTTCGTCAACAAACTTCATTTCCTCCAAACAAGATTCAGAGCCAAAAGTCTAACTCATAAATAATAATTCACTTACTGAGGATCCATTACCGTTAAATATAACAGAAACGACATCGGCTCGTGTACGCGTCTCACGAGGAAACTAAACTTTGCCAATTAATCGTACCGATGGGGTTTCACGGTGTCGATGCGTCGTCGAAGCCTTGAATCGTTTCCGCCTGAGTCAAATTGCTTTTTGTTGAAAGTTGAGATTAGAAAAAGGGCAGTTTAGTTTTTGTCGCCGGTGGGCGGAAGACAAATAGTTACTCGACGTCAGCCGCAGGGGCGAGTCAACAGGAGTCCGGCCCCGTCCCCGTCGCGAACAGACTCGCGGTCTCGATGTAAGGGCCCCCTCGCTTCATCCCATCATGTATGTGTTTCTTGTTGTTGTTGCTCTTAATTTTTTTGAAATAAATCAAATTATTTGATGCTTTTTGTTGGTGCTATTATGGAAATTAATGGTGTAAAGGAAATTGTTAAGTCTTTAGAAAAATACACTATAACATAATAATAATAGAGAACAGAGTATTTGACCCTGAGCTGTTAGAGTATAGTTCTTTTTAGATTTCTAAGGGGCTTTTTTCTCGAATACTAGCAGTTTACAGTTGGTACTTTTAACAACAACTTATCGCGACCTTGTTTTTCTTAAATTAGTTTTCCTCTTACTTGACACCACAATATCCAGTGGATTAATAATAAATACAATATCTGTTGTACAAGAATCTAAAATACGCAATAAACATATCAATATCACTAAATATCCACTAAAATAAAGTTACAAAAGTAAAAACAATGTTTACTATTACAGTAATAAGCCTCGTCAATACACGCCGTGCCAACATGGAATAGCTGCAGTCTTGTGTCGGTTGACCTACATACCGTGTCGGAACTAATGTTGTCTTGGCTCTTCATAAGCTGGCCCCGATATCTCGGAGATGACAACAATCACAATGTATTCTGAAACATCTTGTAAGATCGCTACGAGCGGCCTCTACAGTAATATCTGTTGAAACTCTTTCAACTTCCTGTCGGAACTTTACAACAAATATAATTGTACTTTATTTTCAAAGGCTTTTAATAAATCTAAATAGAAACAGCAGTATACATTTTATCCACAGTTCATTATGTAGGTGTCTTCACGTATTCCATGGTAGCAGTAGCAATCACACAATTAAAAATCTCGAAAAAAGTCTAAATCGCGCTATTGACATTTGCACAAGCGAGCAGATATGCAGGTCCCGAACAACAACATACACGTCCTCACGGATCCATCAGATCCAATAACTCTTGCATTAGACGCCTTCAGCTCTAACACTAGGGGCAGGATTAGGGACCACGGTAACCTTGCTCCTACTCCGTGCAATCTACTCTAAACATCAGCCCGCTGAGTTTCTCGCCGGATCTTCTTAGTAGGTCGTGATTCCGATCCGGTAGAGTCATCCGTGATCCGTCTGCTTTGGGGGCGCTAGGACAGCTGTTAGCAAATTCCACCCCTCCTGGCTGAGCCTTTGCTCGCCCACCTGTCCTGGTGAAGCAAGGGAGGCCTCCGGGCCAGCTGAAATCCCTCATTAAACGGCCGTCTGGTGTAGTGGTAAGTGACATGGTCACTACACTAGGGGGTCGCGGGTTCGAATCCCGCCAAGGGAAGATATTTGTATGATAAATATAAAATGTCTTTCCAGGCTTATGGGTGTAAATTAAATATATAATAAAAATATTATATTTATTTCCGTTATCTGGTACTTGTAACACAAGTTCTTTACGAACTTAGCACGGGACCAGTTAACGTGGCGTGATTGTTAGTAAATATTTATATTTATATTAAATGTATAAACGTAAAATTTCGAAACGTTCGGTTATGCTTCGGCTGTGGTGCGGCGGTGCTGGGAGATTTCTTTCGAAGCGTTAGACGGAATTTTCCGCCAAATGGCGGTGGTGCGGCGGTGGTTCAGCGTTGTGGTGCGGACACCGTGCAGCGGTGGTTCGGCGATAGACTTGAATTTTTTTTATTTTATTTTTTTATTTATAAAAAAAAAAATTACCCATTCAGTGGAAGATCTTCCCACTGCCACTCCCCAAAGGCCCAAAGCCTCATTTAAGCTATTTACAGTGTTAGGAAGTAAGCGAGTGAACGATTTTCACGGTGTAAATCGATTTTATACCGTGGTTGCCATAATGCTAAATAACTTCTCGATAAATATAGATTAGAGGACATTTAATTCGTTAGATTGGTCATTTTTGCTCAAAAATAAAAACACGTACATAAGTGATCACCTCTAGCTTTCATTTAAGTGATAACAAATATTAACATTACCAAGAAAAAGCAAAAAAAGTATAATAGTTTTCCTGATGTTTCTCGATTATATTTTTCTGTTATTGAATCAGGCTTCGGTATTTGGGTCACGTTGATGTAACATGTGTACGCTGTGTTACTGATGGCACCCTTTGTCATCGCTCTCCCTGTGGGATCCAGGTACATATATTACCACATCGCAGTCAGATATAATCTATTTTTTGCTGTAGTCGAACAGAAGGGCTCACGACTCGCCTGTTAAGCTCCCTATAGGACAAAAGTATAACTAATTTAGGAATAGACAGCATGGTGAACTTCTCGTATGCACTAATAATAAGATAACAATAATAGTTGAAGACTTCAGCATGCTGTGCTATGTGTCTTAGAAGGTTCATAAACTAGATTCACACTGCAAGACACTGTTTGAGAAAATTTATTTCTAATATTTTATTTCTAAATGGGCAGAATATTTTGTAGACACATGAAAATAAGTCGAAGCCTATGAAACTATAATGAAGTCACTTTTCACCGATTAAATGTTCCGCGACCGGCCAGACCCCTCGCGGCCTGCCAAACTACACTATTATGGCCAAAGCACACAAAGTTTTAAGATGATGTAATGATTGTGTTATGTAAGATATAACAATTGAAAGTGGATTAAAATTAAATTTAGGAATTTCATTGGGTATCTCCTAACATACAGGTAAATGAGAACATGAATCATGCAAAATGTTACGTCCCTCATTTATAACAGCGCGCTTACAAAGCCGGTGACTCCGTCCGGATCCAATAAGAAGCGTGTCGTTATTTCGTTCCGTTGTCGCGTCGCTCGCGTCGACTGCTCCCGAAAATAATTCGACGAAAAACCAAATAATGAAAATCTTCGCGACGTTTAAAGGAAGTGGGTCAAAAGAGCAATATCTGATAACAAATTGGACGGAAACCAATAAATATAATTCCTGATTGAACGGTACTCGGAAACGGCCTTAGGAGGCTCTGAGGTTTGATGAAATTTTTTGAAGGAATTTTAAAAGCTATTTTATTTTTGTTTTATTTTATTAAATTTTTAGTAATGTGTTTAAAGTCAGCAAGAGGAGTATTCACGGAATCTGACTTTTAACATGGCGGTTCACTTTAGCTTTACGATATGGTAGTTTCGTTTCAACTCATACACATTTATAATGAAATTTGGGAAACGTTAAATTTGAGAGAAACAAAAGCAATTTATTTTGAGAACGTATTCGCGGCCTACCCGGCGCTTACTCGTTACCAGAGCCCATAGTTAAAGAATAGCTTATTTCTAAATAAATCCCCATGTACATACATAATGTTTGTAGGTCCTATTGTAAGTTCGTACGAGTAGATTCCACGATCATGGCTAGTTCCCGTTCGATAGGTCAGTCAACCGTAATACAATACATTCCAAGGCATTGAGTCAGTTCTTTAGGTGGACTGATGTATTCGACAGGAAGAAATCAATTTTAATTTCCTGAGAGCACGGGGAGGGTCGGGGGGAGGAGGCGCGTATTGTTGAAACGATGACGCACTTCTATAATTTGCTGTCAAAAGTTTCGTCGTTAGTCTACAAAATAAACTAAACATCAAAGAGTGTTGCCGGGCACTTGTACAAACAGGCCCACGGCTCAACTGGCAGACGGTGCTAACTTACAGACAAACAAACAAACAAACAAAGTATCAAAGGACGGATCCCGACGAATTAAACTATCGTATCTACAGTAAACACCCGCTCGTTCCTATCCAACCCTTTTCGCAAGTGTCCGGATTATAATGGCCGTTTTCTTACAAACGATGAAACAACATCCGCCTCAAATGACGAAACTGTAAAGATATTGAGATACGATTCTTGTGGGTGACACATTACACAAGCTTCAATACGTAACAGTACATTTTCTAAATTCCAAACAAAATTCCTACAGCAAGACCGAACCGTAGAAGATTCGTATAAATCTACATTTTCAGTTTGTGGCCTCAACGCAAGTTTCCACAAAAAGGGCAAAGGGCGCGTTACCTTGTTTTACCCTTCTGCAATATTTATATTGTGAGAGTATCTTCGGTTATTTTCTCACTGTGTTTAAACTACTCTGAACTCCAATTTGCGCTTCGAATCAAAACCTTTTCGTTTCATAGGCTATACATGTGATATTACATTGAAATCTAGTGGTAGAATTAATTTTATTGATATATATAACCGTGAAATCTACTTTTTCGTTCCTGTAAAAGAATCCACCTTGACCTCCGGACCTACTACTACTACT